GAGCGTTTCACATCAAACCACTCTGAATGACTTTTACATTCTTAATCTTTTAATTATCCTGAAATCAGTGGGATTCCCTTTAAAATGACCAGGAGCCACTGTTAGGTCCAGCCTTCCATTCCTCACCCCAAAAGTAAAATTTTTCTCATTTACAGCAGAATCTTATTCACAGATTCAGATTCATTAATTCGTGAGAATACATTAAAAATTTGATGGATCATGTTAATTCAGTTGTGAGAGTACTGTAAATACAGTAAGTTGAACAGGTCAGTTTATTTCATTCATGTGAATGCTTTATACAGTTGTATGCAAAAGTTTTAACACCCTGGTCACATCACACATTACAAGTCAAAACAAGTTAAAAACATCTTCTACAGAGAACACACTTTAAAAATGGCATTTGCAAATGTTAGCAAACAATTCATGTTTATTTACTGAGATTAACATATTTGAAAAAATATAACTTAATAAAAAGCCAAAACAGAGAACACAGTCAGTGTATCTATGCAAAAGTCTGAACACCCCTAGGAAAATTACATGTTTTGTTGATTTCTAACTGAAAACACATTCTCTTCAGAGAACATACTTAAAAATGCTATTTTTCTTACAATTTCAGTGCACAATTTCATTTATTCTATTATTTATTCAAATGTACCATACATTTTGCACAGGCCACATTTTTTGTTTTTCCCCCAATATGGCAAGTTCAGCAAATAAACAGTAACTGTGCATTAAAATGTGCAGAAAGTAGTTCTCTGTAGACGATGTTTTAACTTATTTTCACTTAGAAAATCATGCAATTTGACTAAGTGTGCCCAAACTTTTGCAATAAACTGTATGAATTACATAGTTAGTAACATAATGTCCTGAGAAAGGTATAGAATAGACTCTTTGTGGTAGACAGTTTAATGTCCCAAGAGGAAACAGGAACACAGTCTAATCAAACATTAGGTAGCTGCAGGTAGTTTGATTCTGTACACTGTGTTCCTGTATGCATTTGAATGTGTGTTTAAGTGTTTATTGTAGGCTGTTTTCACATTTCTACTCTGGATTAAAGTGAATCCAGTCAAATCTAGTTAAATTTGTTGACAGCTTTGCGTATGCATGTCTGACTTTCTTCACTTATTTTGATCAATGGAAAGTCTAAAATCACTTCAACAGAATTTGGCTGCCTGTTTCAGCTGCCTTACTAGTTTTATTCACAAGATTTATTATTTGCTTCAGGAGGAAAACACTTGTTAAGTTGCAGTGGCTGTTGTGTTGGCTAGTTCCCATGAGTATAAAACCCTGGGAGATCCTGTCTGTCTGTTTATGGGACAAAACTTACCAACCATAATGGGAGAATAGGATAAGTGGCTAAATTGTGTTAGCATGGTCATTGTAGCACGAAGTTGAGCAAGAAAAAGTGATTACATTGCCAAGTTGCTATTTTCAGCAATACAAGTGTGAGCTTGTTGACTCGTGTTCTTTGTTGGGTTTGAACTATAGCCACTGAAAATCAGTGTCAAGCTGTAAACACTAAACTCTTGGTTTGAGTCAGACTTCAGTTTTCACACATTAATGATGGTGTAAGTTTTTTCGTCTTTAAGACTTAAACTTCTGGACTTAATTTGATAAAATTAAGAAAATTATGATTAAAGTGATACATAATTTGCTATACATAACTACTAGGGCTGAAAAATTTATAACTATACATAACTACTAGGGCTGAAAGACTCCTAGTCGGCTACAAAAAGGGTTTGCAAGCTGTGATATCTACTAAGTAATGACTTACTAAGGTGCGTAAACATTTGCATAAGCTTGAGCAAGTAAGAACAAATTATTATGATTACCTGTACAAAATAATTAATTATGATTAGTTATTGTAATTATTTGACAGACCTTGGTATAGGTAATGACATAGTTATTTGTCTGCACTTCCATTATTTTCAAAGTGAAATGTGGCAACAATATAAAAGGAAGATTTTTCTTTCCACAAAACAAGACTGTACACACAACAACTTTCCATCAAATTCAAGTCCTAATAAAATCTCTAATTTTCTACTTAGAAACAAAGTTGAGATAGACTGAATGTTTAGAATCTGCACTTTCAGCAATGTTTTTCGCTTGTTTCAATGAGCTGGATGCTCTAAAAGTTACAACATGCTTTTGGTAAAGAGATTTTCTCCTGAAAGCAGGATAATCTCTGCTAGTTGTGTAAACTTTACACAGCGTCATTGTCAAAGTGGTAAAGGGGTCTGAATAATATAAAATTTGAAAGAGTGTTTGCTTTGTGTGCGTGTGTATTTGTTTTGGTTCACTTATTGCTGTCATAGTTCTGCAGACCAGTCCTTCTCTTGTCAAACTCAAATATGCTTTATTTATAGTTACAGTGTTTACAATACATCAGTCTATTAATCATTCAGTACATGCTCACACATACATCCACGGAAGTGACGTCTTACACACAGGACTGTGCTTAAGTCAGCCAAGACTGTTCGAAACAAATATAGTTCTAGAATAACACAGTAGGAAGAGATTTAGTTTATGCACAATGTGTTGTTGTTGTGCTTTATTAAAGGCTGTAGTCAGTTTCAGCCATGCTGTATAGAAAGCAAGGCTTTAAGCTAACAGCTGTGGCATCAGCCCAGGTCTGCACTCACTCGTATCCCAGCCCCAACTGAATAATTCTTCCTATTGTACAGACATGAAAACAGAACAAAACAGTCTAACCCTGCCCTTCAGAATAGTCTTTATCAGAATAAACTGAGAAAATAACTGCTGTAGAAAAAATATACCAGACATTTGTTGAACACGCTACACTGCTTATCTAGGCAGTGCATGTGCTTTTGCCAGAAGCAATATCATATCACATGAGAATAAATACAGATCACCTCAACCCCTTAAAATCCTTATTACATACTAAAGCTTATCATTCAGTATCAACACGGATGTCTCTGCAAACTGGTTGAGCAAGTCTTATGTCATAGAAGTGTGTAATAAAACTTGGCCATGTAAGGGGTTAAATACAGTAAAATAAACAAGCTATGCAGCCTCTGACACTTAAGTTCATTCTTTATTACTAGATTAATTACAGTTTTGTGGGCAAATTAAAGATGACAGAATACAACAACCACAAGCACTGAACTGTGCTTTTATTAAAGCAGCACTGTGTAATAGTTTTGTTAAAATTACAGCAGCATTACTGAGTATGGAGACAAAATACACACAAAAATATGGTGTGTGTGTGCGCCGTTACGAGTTGCCCTGTTAAGCCTGAAATAATCATTTAAATGTCAGAGGTACTTGGACGGATTTGGTGGGAGTTTTTCAAACCACATCATACATCTTTACATAACAACTTTACATGCACAGGCTCAAAAAGAAAGTCTGACTCAATGTTTAGGTCTCAAATGCAAAATAAACATTGTGCAGTTACAACAGTAGATCATTCACTTACATCCTTGGAAGACACTACCAAGTTTTAACTGAGTTCTCTTTGAATTCTCTTTCCAGGCACTTGAAAAAATCAGATTCATCCACAAGGGGAAAGGATCCGAAACACAACCCACATTACAAAATGTTCTTCTGCATGTTGTGTGTAATTACATATTTCCACCAGAGAGGTCTCCAAATCCCCAAATCCTTAACTCACATGCTATCACTGTGCTTGCTTCTACGTCCTTTTCAGTGTCCAGCAACTTTTGTGGAAATAAAAATCAAAGGTGAAAAAACAAACAAACAAACAAACAAACAAAAAAAAACAAAACCAACCAAATATGAATGCAGTACAACATAACAAAAATATTTTATTTTTAAAGTTATTAATATGTTATGCTGTATTATACATATGCTGGTTTGAAAATTGCAAAATGTGGCTCTTGATTTCTCAGTGAACTCCAGCCATTGCATGGATTTCTTCAATTTCATCAACAGCACATCTGACTTAATTTAACAGATTGATCAGATAAATTAGGTATTGAATAGTTACTGTAAACACAAGACTTCATAGAGGAGAGCTTTGTAAATGGCTAATCTAACACAATGACAGATGTAAAGTCTCAATCTATTGTTTATTTATATTAATTGTAATGGTAGCCTTTTTTTATTTATCAGATAGACTTTTTACACAGTACTCTACATAAAACACCTATTTGACCATATATTATGTGTATTTAATCAGAACAGTGTGCCATTACTGGTGCTGCTCTTTAATCTGCACCTAATTAAATTATAGGATATATGTACTGACCATACATATATGTATTAAATAAATTGAATGGTCTTTCATTGAAACAACTCATCCATTAAGTATGTTGAGTATGTGATTAATCATTGAAATGATTTACACCAACAGCTTAAAGCTGGCCAATAAAATTGTGTCTACTTCTTCTAATGGCAACAGATGCCATTTGAATTCATGATATTAGCAAACTCAAAATAGTTGAGTAATGTAGGGTAATGTTCCTGTTTTAAATAAAGCAGACTTAATTTATTTAGGTAAGTGTCTTGTCTTGTGGAAATCCCAGAAATTATTGAAAAAAGAAAAAAAAAATTGAAAATGTTGATTGTCTTGATTGGCTGATTTGGGATAATAACATTCTTTCATTGCTAATACTTTAATTTTAAAATGGGTCATATTTTGCCAATTAGTCTTATAAACTGAATAAACCCTTAACACTACAGGCATATTACATACAAAGGTTTATTATTCAGTAGCTACAGGGACTTCAATGCAAACTAATGGAGCTACTCGGAGGAGAAGTATGTAATAAAAGTGTATAATAATACTTTGGGACCCATGGCTTGGTAAGGCATTAATGTGGTGACAAACAGTTTAACTGGCATTCACTTCTTCAGTCAGTTCTTTGATTAAAATGAAGAAAGGCAAAACATTAGTTTAAATGAACCAAATGATGTTTTTCATCAATGCAATTTTGCCTCTGTTTTTGACGGTGTGGATACTCTGTCTCTCTGTCTCTCTCTCTCTCTCTCTCTCTCTCTCTCTCCCTCTTTCTCAGGATGAAAAAAAGGAAACACAAGCTGTTTCTGTTCTGTTCAGTTGGACTTTGTGTGGTCTCTTTCCTCTATTGCTATAAAACCCTCCACCAGGAGTTTCTTCTGCGAGAGCTCTCCCGCCACAAGTCAAGTCTGAAGTCCCTGGCCATCTTACATGGGTTCATTTGGGGAGATCCACTGACCTCATCGCTCTCCAACGACAATTTCTTTTCTAACACTAACAACCACAAAGGGGCAGAAAAGGCAGTGAGGCAAAAGACATATGATGAAAGGGTAAATAAAATCACAGTAAGACACACAGACCTAAGAGAGAATGTGTTACCAGGGTCACTGTAGAAAAGCAGGCAGTTTTAGTCATCAGTGCTTCTTTATACAGTACCAGTCAAAAGTTTGGACAAATGAATAGTTTAAATGTTCTTCCTTATTTTCATGACATAAAAATAACACACATGAAATGAATTCCTTTAGGATTGTGAAAACATATTTGTGCCTACTTTTGGCTGGTACTATTTCTATGTCTCAGTGTAGAGTGTTGTTATTATTATGAAAGACAAATATTTATGATCTTTTTTTCTTGTGTCAGGAACAGCAAGTGGCAGATTTTGTGATACCTGATCCTACTGGTCCACATGGGGAACTTCACAAACGAACATTCATTTTACAGGATGATCACACCCAATATTTCATCCACACAGAGACGGGAGGTCTGTGCTTCCGTGAGGGGACAGACATGGCTTCAAGTAAAGTCAAACCAAGCTACACCAAGGACAATGAAGGTCAAAAGGTAAACCCGGAGCACCACAAGAAAAACAGCACAGTTCTTGTAGATCGCACGGTCAAGCCGGGTAGGAAGGTTGCAGAGTGTGTTTGCCGCCAAGGTTGGCATGGCCCTAACTGTGGGGTGCCAACCGTGGTCCAACATTCAAACCTTCGTACCAAGTCACACCTAAAGCCCAGGAAGTTTCCACGTAGAATCATCAATGCCATCAACATCAATCATGAATTTGACCTACTGCATGTCCGGTTCCATGAACTTGCAGATGCTGTGGATCTCTTCCTGGTGTGTGAGTCAAACTTTACTGCCTACGGAGATTCCAAATCACTTACATTTCTGCAGCTTCTCCTCAATGGAACCTTCAACTACATCAAGCACAAAATCCTCTATATTTTCCTTGACCACTTCCCCAAGGGCGGTCGGGCCAATGGCTGGATCGCAGATGACTATCTGCGGACCTTCCTGACAAAAAACGGACTGTCAAGGATTCGGGGTCTGAGGTCGGACGATGTGTTTGTTCTGGATGATGCGGATGAGATTCCTGTAAAAGAGGGGATTCTGTTCCTCAAGCTCTACGATGGCTGGACGGAACCATTCGGGATTCACATGCGGAAGTCCTTGTATGGATTTTACTGGAGACAACTGGGAACACTAGATGTGATATCAGGATGCACCGTGGCCATGCTCGTTTCGGTCTACAAGGGGGATGGGATTCTGCTGAGACGGAGGGAATATTTTAGCATGCCAGGATTCAGGCAATTCAAGAAAACCTCAGGACACGTATTAATGCCATGGTCCATTGGAAGCCCGGTTCACTATGCTGGATGGCACTGTTCGTGGTGTTTCAAACCAGAAGGAATTCATCACAAACTGATTTCTGCACAAAATGGTGACTTTCCTCGCTGGGGAGACTTTGCAGAGAAGCGAAAACTAAGCTACATCAGGGAGCTAATACGAACTGGTGGCTGGTTTGATGGCTCGACACCACACTACCCTCCAACAAATCCCAGGGAGCACATGTTTGCTCCCAAGTATTTGCTGGACAATTATGAAAGGTATCGCTACTTGCTGGAGAATCCGTACGCAAAAGGGTAAGGATGAAAGACAGAAACAGATTTCTGTATGTAACATCATCTTCTGACCAGGAGGGGGGGGTGAAAGCAAGAACGGTAACACTTTCTATGAATGTCACCTTTGTAAGCATCTATAAACACATTCATAACATGTTATAATGCATTCATAAGGCATTATAAACATGGCTATAAAAATTTATAAAAATGCATTACACATTATAGGCATGTTTATTATGCATTATGAATTGTTAACATAATGCGTTATAAGTACTGATCATAACAAATTATAAGAGCTCATAAGTTGTATTAAGTAAAGTGAAGCATACTGTACTAAAGCCTACTCCAGTGTTAAGAGTGAGGCTTCAAGTTGAAGTATTTACTGAAGTATTTACTGAAACACTTAAACATACATAATAAAGCACATTACAGGCTTCAAATGTCAGAGTTTAAACTAGTGCTGCCATCAGTGTTTTACCCAATGTGGGAAAGGTAATGTACACAGCCGTTAGCTTGGTATTTGTCTTTACGCTCTCCAAGCTGGGACTGACTTCTTTGGCACTGACATTATAACATGTTATTAACACTATTTATAATGCATTATATTAACAGTTCATAATGTATAATAAACATGGCTATAAAGTGTAATTCAGTGTAATTCTTTTTTTATAAATATTTATAACCATGTTTATAATGCCTTATAAATACATTATAACATGTTATAAATGTGTTTATAGATGCTTACAAATGTGACATTCATAGAAAGTGTTACCAAACTTTCCTTTGAAAATGATAACATGGCTAACACCGAGTGAATGCTAGAAAAAAAAACTGTTATCATGCTCTAGCATTAGAGGAAATGTTCCCTCTTAGATTTCATTGGTGAACTGCACCTTGGAAAAGTGACTGAACACTGTAGTGTCACTTCAGCAGCCTTATGAGAATGTGAATGTGCTATGGAAGTTGGACGGGTAGATTTCAACCTTCAAATATCTGTAGCACGGTTGGGGCATACTATATTTATAAGGGGGAACTACTGTGGAAGTTTCACATTGAAAGCTAGAAGCAGTTGTTCTCACTAGCTTTTAAAAATTTCTAACGTATGCCTATGATTGTAAACAGATCAGTAATGATCACAACAGAAGCTATAGTAGTAACAAGGTACTCAAGTATCAGTTTACAACAGTTTTTCCAATATTGTGCACTAATTTCAGAATAATGTAAGATGCCTCTGAACAGAAAAGATTGATGTTTGAGTGCACGCTAAAACAAATCAAAATGCAAGAAAACAGCAACCAGTGCAGTCAGAAACCACATTTTATCACTGTCCAGAGAAAACCATCTCAATTTTTATTTTTCTACATGATTTCAACACACACAGCTGTCCTTTACGTCGTATGAAAATTTCCTCATGAATGAAATCACTTGGAATAAAATCTCTTTACATTGACTTACATTTAAAGGTAAGTGTGTTACTATTTTGGAGATACTTGTTTTTCTTTGGACAGCGATTATTTACAAGGGCTTGTTTAGATTTGTCGCATAATGACACACAAACCTGTGTTGTTTAGAGACATAGGTATTATATTTGGAGTATTAAAAAAATAAGAAAAAGGTAAGAAATGGCTTCTGGCTGTTGCTTTTGGACTGCTTATGGTTTCATATTTATTTGTTTACTTTTAAGGACCGCAAAAATTGAAGAAATCATATATATATATATATATATATATATATATATATATATATATATATATATATATATATATATATATATATATATGTCCAAACGTTTGTGGACACCCCTTCTTATTAGTGAATTCAGCTGCAATAAGGTGCAGTCACTACTAACACAGGAGCTCAAATGCACACACAGCTTGGATAGTGTTTTTATAGAAAAGCATTGACAATAGAACAGAATGCCTAAGGTCACTTTGGGATGTGAAGCAGTGGAACTGTATTCTATTGAGTGATGAAGCCCCAACCAATACCTTTGGGATGAGCTGGATTGGCGTTTGTGATCCAGAATTAATCATCCACCACTGAGTGTAAAACCTTCCCCAAAGAGTAAAGACAGTTACTGCAGCAGAGGGGGACAAACTCCTTTTTAATACTTTTGATTTTGTGAGGTAACATTGGATGAGCAGGTGTCCACAAACTTTTGGCCGTAAAGTTTATATACTGAATTAAATGATTGTCAAATGAAAATGACAAAAGAAATGAAATTTCTGAAATTTTGAAAATACCCAAATATATAAGATTAAAACCTGAGAATATTTATTGAAATTTGAATATATAAAGCACAAACCAGAATCAAAAGTCAGAGACCACCCTTTCATTTATTTAACTTGACTTTATTTTTCATTGTCAAGAAAAACCTGAAAATATAAATTTAACAGAAAATTACACAGAAGCCTCTGCAACTAAATATAACAACAAAATCAGTATGTAGTCTGTCCACCCTTTTTCTTTATTACAGCTTCCATTTTTTTTCAGAAGACTTGCTTTCAGTTCAAAGAAAATGATAGGGATGGTTTTCCAAAGTTCCGTCTTAGAAATTTAGACTCAACAGTCCATAAAACTTTACTTCTCATGCCAAATGTTGCTGCTGTAAAGCAATATTTTCATTTTTGTCTATTTCCTTTTCTAAGTAACAGCTTTTTGACAGCTACACATCCTTTCAGTCTCATAGCGTTGTCTTCTTATTCAAACGCCTGTTTATTTTTTCAGACCTGACACAGAGAGGAGGTGTGTTTGAACAGTTGCTTGTGTGAATATTAGTGTCTGTTTGAAGGGGAACATAATGTCCCAATAGTGTCTCTTCTGGGAACAGCTTTTGTTGTAACTGCTGTAACTGTAAGCTGGAAGGATGGAAGAGTTAAAATTTCAGTGAGGAACACAAACATAAAGAACAGACAAATTAAATACTGATAGATTTCATATTTTACTTACTGTTGGGAGCTTTTGTGTAATTTCTCTTAAATACATGTCCCCTGCTTTTCAATAATTAAAAAAAATCCTGCACTTAATGACCATTTTGATCTCTGGCTTTTGATAAAAAAGGAGTGTAGAACTAGTAACAGCACTGGATGATTATTATACACCTCTAATTACTTTTTCCCACTTACCTGCAGTTGTTTTTCAGGAAAGCAGAGTTATCTCTGCTGAGAGAAACTCTTTTCCTTAGTGACAGGGCTTCTCATTATGAATACTTTTACACTGACAGTACACTGTCATCGCTACTCTGGTATTGTGAAAACATCATGAACTCTCAGGGATTTTATAAGGTTTATATACAAACCCAGGCCCAAAAGAGACAGTAGGAGAAATGTAAATAAAGAGATGGCAATGACTTGTAAATCATTGTTGAATAAATTCAATTGAAAATGTTGTATTTTAAATACATGCTTATTGTAGATAAAATAAATAAAAGTAAATATTTTAGAAAAGAGGCATTTTTACCATAAGAGCCATGACTAGAATCAATTTTTTAGCTGAAGAGTGACCGACTGCTGCTTTTTTTTTTTTTTTACCAAATCACAAATCATTACTCCTTTTTTACCCATCCATGACTAATAAGTACCTTTTCTTTCATTCATTCCCTTCCCATCACTCCATTTGGCATTACTGTTCTATAAAGTGATTTGATTCCAGTTACCTTGTTTCATTTTATTTGATTCACCATGTACATATTTATTTACAGCTAAATAAAACATGTTGAAACCTTTACTAAACCACATTCATTAAATCACCTTCTCTTGCTGTCTTCTCCTTTTCTCTAGCATCTCAGCCTCACGTATTACCAAAAAAAGCATACATTGAAAAATATGTTATAAAAGACTGTTTATACCAAACCTCCAGCTCACTGGAAGCAAAGGCTACTCAAACAGTTAACCAAACATAGTACAACAAATGTGATTTCTTAATTATGTTAGATGATACTTAGATGGTAGCATCAATATGCTAGTTAACAGTGAATTGTCTTATGCTTATTCTAGTATGAGTAGGTAACACGGTACAAATTTTTCATCTAATAGCTAATATATGCCAATTATGGAGGCTGTAGCTTAAACATGTTGACTGATATGAGCTGACCGAACAAAAAATTAATTATACGGTTTGGATTTTACAAACATAATTGGTTAATTAGCCTCATACACTTTCACATTTAAGTCATAGCTACAATGTATGTTGTGTCCAGAGATAAACATAGCAGGCAGTCTTTGCCAAACCACAGCTGTTTTGAGGTCAGCTGAGTTCCAGTCACTGCTGATTGTGCAGTGTTGTCATTGTTTCCACACTACTTGTAAAATTCCTCTGAAACAACTGTGAACCTCTGTGCTAGTTACAAATATGGTGGGTGCAGATATGATCTGAAGGCTTGAAGCAATGGTGGATAGCAACTGTTGCTGAGCAGCGATTAGAAGGCTGAGAAACTTAGGCGGATCTTGGCAGAAAGATTAATGATTTGACTGGCCATTACACAGTGACAGCACTCATTTCATTATTTTAAAAACACTGCTTAATAAAGATTATTTTTACCATTTGATTGGGTAAGTCTGTGATATCTTACCTCCAGAGTAGGCTACTGCATTAACAGGACAACAAAGTTTCTACATTAAATCTTATGAATGACCAAGAAGAAAACCCTTCCAGAACTAATTAGGGCCAGATGGTTGTAACTAGCAATGAGGCGGTGTCCTCATACATCACTTTTCCTTTTATCAACATACAGAAATCGTTTGGGAACTGATGGCTGCAATTATTGTAGGTACATAGGGTGTGCGCTTATCCTTCTTGGCCTGAGAAAATGATGTCCATTATTTTCAAGAACAATTTGAAAGGTGGACTCAGCAGACCACAGCACAACTGTAGCCTTCAAACAGAAGTTCAACATGAGTGACTCTGGCTTTCTCCTGAGTTGGTAACTGTTATTAGCCAAGTGATTTGCTAGCTGATCTGCATTAATTATCAGATTATTACCTGATTATTAACTAGCTGCCATACATTAATAACCAGGTTACTAGTTAACTCTCCTATGTTAATACCCAGTTTATTCACATGCTGCCCTGCACTAATAATAATGGGAATATCATTTGTTCCTGTGTCATTATCCAGGTGATTAGCTAGCTGATCTG